GGAGGGTAAGTTAATTTTATATTGTTATTTTTTTTAATTAATTGATTTTGATCTATTAATTTTAATTTTTTAATTTTCATAAATAAAAATTATAGAATGTTTGTATTAAGTGTAAAAAGATTGGTAAGTGGGGGTTTTTTTTAAGTCAATTAACCAACCAAACTATCAAAAATTAATTAATTCATTCATTATTATTTATTTAGTTTGTACAGATTGTCTTACCAAAAAACCCATTGATTTATCTTCAATTCCAAAAGATTTTTTAACAATATTAATGGAGGATCCACAATTACAACAACAACAAAATAGGTTTAGTAATAGGTTTAGCACAGCTAATATTATAAGATTATGTGATTTTTGTTATTTGGGTAAATAATTATCTTATTTATAATAATCATTGATTTTTTGATTTTTTATTAATTAAATTGTGGTTTTTTAAAAATTAAAAAAAAAAGATATTGATCCAAATAGTGTCTCGGTTAATGAAGAAAGTGGTGGTGGTTGGGCTGTACAAGGAAATATTTCTCCGCCACCATCACCGTGAAATAAATTCATCGAGGATGAAAAAAAAACAAGAGACAATTGTTTTTCCCTTTATATATTTATAATAATGAGATTAGGATTCAAATAATTTTTTTTAATAAAATTGTACGCATATCTTAAGAATAAGATATTATTAAAGTATCAACAGAGTGACGCTTCTACTTCTCAAGAGTAGGTTGAAACCGTCTCTTTTTTTCTTTCAATTCCCCTCTTCTATTTAAACGTGAAGATTCCGCTTTGTGCGGTAAAACTTGTGACAGAGTATTAACAAATAAACATATTGTGGTGGATGTTTTTGATGGGATACTTTTGATCCTTCCATGAAAAAATGATATTCTAAGGCACGTGATGCTGTTGATGAATTGGTCCATTTATGTTAGAGATCACTCAATTAGCCGATAAGATTTAATTTTGAAATATTTATTCTAGAGCAGTCCTAAGTGCACCTCCCCTTTAAATGCACACACAAATGCGCCCTTCTCTGAAATGTACGCTCACGATATGCTCCCAAGGAGGGTGCACTTGGAGGGGGTTGACTATATTGCTTTATAAATATAATATATATATATATATATATATATATATATATATATTTACTTGTCTATATAAATGACCGTAAAAAGGAAAACGAGAAGCATGAGAATTCAGTGAGTAATTAATATCAATAAAAATGAGGTACTGGTTTGTTGGGTTAGGTAATAAAAATTCATAGCACTTCGATTTTACGAACTGAATTAATCCAAAATAAAAAGAGTAACGTAATGATAATATTAGAACTTTGCATTTTACTTAATCGGTGGTGAATCTCTCATTTCTAATGGAATATCGTGATTGTTCCATTGTTAAAACACATAGTGATAAATGCAGCCGAAGCTCGATAAGCATTCATCAATTTTATACTTTACAAATAGTATATTTTAATATCAAGCCTAATTCATTCACCTAGGTCTTTGAATTCAAGAAACAGGTTGAAGGGAAGAGGAATTTCAGACCAAATGGAAATAGTCAAACTATCATCTCCAAAAAGACAAAATCAAAAATAACAACAATAACAAAAAAAAAAAAAATCATCGTCGTCCAAAGAAAGTCAAATATCAAAGGGAAGGCAGGGAG